TATACTTTCTTTGGTGCCATTTGGTAATCGTTATTGTTATTCTGTTAGCATATCATCCTCTTATGCTTTATGGTTTTCAGTAACGACTATCATGAAGATTTTTGGCGTGGCATGGAATTTTGATTATCTTAATCCTTACCATTTTTAAGGTGGTAAGGCCACGAATGTATGATTCATTCAAGAGTCAAAGAATGACGCCTTTCTTATAATCAGCATACACGAGAAAAAAATATCATTGTACACTTTTCTATTTTGAGATTCGTCTAAGAACTTCAAGAAAATCGACGTCAACGCAGCTGTACAACATCTTGGCATGACGTCATCAAAATCTGATTTCTCACTCACCCGTTATCACATATCTTACTGATTCCAACAATTTTAATCCAAACCTTTCCATCATCGTTCGCTTAACAAATTTTGTCCTTCATATATGTTGTCAAATGCTGCTTCAGTTGATTCTTTACTCAAATCGTCGCATAGCCGTTTCCAGGTCTGCATTACAGGAAATTGCTAGCTTCTGTGGAGCGAATGATGCTCTTCTGGGGCAAATTGCCAATGTCGATGATAGAAGACCTGTTAGGCGCTGAGGCGCTCCTGTTAGGATGCTTTGCGGACTGGCGCAGATGTTTAATATACATTAGTATACGTATATATGTATACATATAATGTACATGTATGTATGTATAAATATATATGTGTACATATATACATATGTGCATGGTATGCGTATATATGTGAATATATATACGTATGTACATATATACATATACATATGCATATACATATGTATGCATATATGCAATCAACAGTGAATGCCCTGTGGAACACAACATCCAGGCTATCTTAGAGATTGCAAGGAGACGCGCTCAACCAGTACGCTACGCATACGGGAAGAACACAGAAAAACGAATTGAGTGCTAGGAGTACTGTGATCCGCACAGCGAAAGAAACACTGTGAAGTCGGATCTAAGTAAAGTAATAGAAAATATCATAGATTTACATATATACGTGCGTATATATATGTATATATACGTGTAATACATATATACATATACATATATATATATATATATATATATATATATATACATATATTCTATTGACATCAGTTCGACACCGCGTGGATACTCTCATCTGCTCACTATGCTCTTCTCTATGTCTTGCCATAATTAATGAGAAGACGATGAATTACTGCAATTAATAAAAAAAAAGGGCGACTTCATGCGCGACTTTTCATTTTGTTCCGTGTTCCGAATGGCGTTGGTGCACTTATTCAAACGTAACGACAATAATTACACTAGCACTGCCCGTTTGTAAGAAGTAAATGTAAATCATGTAAAAAGCAAGACGAAGCGACTATTAGCAGAGTAGGCAATTAGAGCGGATTGTTTCTTCCCACCTGCTACTCAACTATTTCTAATCTGAAGGGCCTCTGCTAAGACATGACGTCAGAATTTGTCGTTCATTTGATATCAGAATGCACAGCGCAAACTATCTACTATAAATCTGAAGGGACGGATGAAGTATTCGGGTGCTTTTGCGTTTTCATTACCCATTTTCAACCCTTTGGGAAGAAAACGTTTTCTGCTTTTTCAAAGTTTCACCAATCATTCGATATTCTAAATCTCGACAATTTCAAAACGTACTTTATCTTTAAAAAGAACCTTTGGTGGTCTAGCAGTAGAAATATAATTATGTTTCACATTCGACGCGTCTTCATAATCATCTCTGTATATTATTTGAAATGATTTTTCTCCATGTCGTAGAGATTTCTAAGTTTTCTGCATTGTAATCGTAACAGAAACTTCCTTCTATCGTTCTGTGAGCTTAGGCTTTCCTTTTTCATTTTATATTGCCGAATAAGCCCTTTAATAAGCCTAAGCCTATGCACAAAAGCAGTCTGAAAGGATAGAGGGGATCTTGTAGTATCAAAGTCATTTAATTTATCTAGATTTTTTTAAGCAGAGAAAGATCTGAATTAAAGAAAAAATTGATGCGCCATATGTACGATCAATCAACCGTTCTATCGATTCACAGCTCACATACTCTACACGACAAGAAATACGTGCCGTGAGCGAAACCCAATTTTCTTTAGGCTTTTATAGCGCACTAAAGATTCCTTTCGAAAAACCAAGTGTACTGTTGGAATCTGCGAGTTTTAAGCTTTTGAATGATTAGTGAATGTCTGGGAAAAGCCCTATCCAGTGAAAAATGCGTCGAAATGCGCGGAGTGTGAAACATAATTTTATCTGCACTGCTAAGGCACTTTTGGTATTTTATTGATCTGTCTACACAGTTTTTCACTGCGCCGAACCTCGTATCAAGTCGTTTTTTTTCGTTTTCTTCTTGAACGTCGCAGAATACTGCTTGATCACGTCTCTTTGAAATCTCGAGGATAGCTGTGGCACTCCACAGGGCGTTCGTTGTTGACTGGCGGAAAATGTTGGAGGAGGGGACGGTGTTTAGCCCGCGTGCGCGCGACAAGAATCACAACCACTCGGCCATTTTTACTGCTATAGCGCCCTTTCACTGTATAGCGCATAAAAAGGCTTTCTCAGAAATAAAGAGCGGCATTAAGGCTGTCGGGATCAAAATCTGTCAAATGACCACTAGAACCCTAAAAGAAAAGCGGAAAACGCGTTGTTTTCCATGAGTTGAAAACGGTATAGATAACGGAAAAGTACTAATGTTCTACTAAAGTGTTGATGTTCTGTTAAAATTCTTAACTTTTCACGGATTGGGATCGATTGAGATGGAAGTATATTGTATTGAATTACGAAAAAATCGTTAAGCTTTGTACGATATTGCCAGATGAAGTGTCTTCGATTCTTGACAAATTGTTTTAGATAAATCACTTCTGCGACCATCATTGAAACGAGATGAGTTGTCATCATTCATTTCGTTTTCCACCTCTGCTTCCACGTTGTTGATTGCGATTGTTTTGCGTAAACCTGACGTAGGATTGAAATGGATGATAGGACGATCGGATGATCGAATGACGGAAAGAGTGGTCTTTTCGATGATTTCCAAAAATCATTAAATTAATCATTTGGCGTACAAAATCCATAAGAAAACTAATAACGCTATCAACTTGGCCACGATTCGGTAAAATTAATAGATGTTTTTGAGGGATTTTCGTTCTGAGTTGGATTGTTTTCGTGCAGGCTGACTATGAAATATGTCAAGCAGTAAAACGGAATTGTTTCTGAAACGAAAGCCTTTCATGAATAGTAGACGTCTACTGGATAAACAGCTACAGATTAATCGTGTTACATCTGCTTTGACAATCGGTCAAACATGGAATTTATCCTTATACCAATAAGAATATCGATCAAATTCCTATACATTCCTTCTTCATTGACTCATGCATTCAACGCACCTCCCATTCGCGTCCATGCCATAGGACGAGATTGATGCGCAGCGTAATAATCTCATTAAGCCATTTTTATCCTAATATTGGCGCTATAACGCTATCAGTTTTCGTTGTTTTCTCCTTGCATCGTTTCGTTCACTCATCTCTGCGATCACAAGCGATTGGTCGACGTCGTCGGCGTCTATCTTACTCAAATATTTGATAAATCGTAGGATTTACCGTTGTCTTCTAATATATGTCACCATTTTCGGCACTAATCGGTGACGATGACAGAGTGCAGAAATTACTTCGGTTGTTCGTATGCGATCAGAATATCCGGACTAGGTGCTCGATAGTCAAGTTCGAAGAGTTTATTCTCAGTTAGAGTTTCTTTTATATGATTTTTGGATCACTACATAATGACGCTAGAATCGATTTAATAAATCGTTTTAATTGTGGACGACTTCCTAACTGACAAATCACAACAAACTATTTAAGTTTAGCACCTATGGACGACTTTTCTACTACTGTTATTTGTAACTAGATATGTTAGAATTCTGTTTGGTGGTATTTTTTAGTGATGTAGGAAATTTTCAAAAATTTGATGAATTTTCAAATTATTGAACATCGTCGTCGCCTAAGCCATAAATTGTCACATGCATATGCACGACAATTACCTATCGTCCCTGCATTTAGCTTTACGTCGTCGGGTTTTTTGAATTTCTTGGAATAGCTAGGTTACACATAATGTAAGTAATAATGCAAGCTTTTCGTGGCAGGACCCATCATAATCAGTGCAGTGGTTGGCTGAACGGCATTATTGTTGCGTGGTCCGTGAAGAAAAAATTCTGATGCTCCGACTTTGTTGTAATTTGTGAAGAATGTAGACAACTTTAGAATTAGAAATATACAAGTTCGCGTTTTCCATAAAAGATCATCAAATTAATCATAAAGTTATCGCGACTTCCAAAGAGAAATCAATTTGTGAATTTTTCTGTTCAGATCAGTTCATCTCACCGGAAGAATTTATCTAGAGAGAGCATTTGGACTTCATTATCATTTCGTACCCTTTGACGAATTCTTTAGCAAATGTGCAACACATGTCATCCCAAAATAACATTACACAGAAAGTTGTATCTTTTTCTGCTCGAATATTTAGCATTGTCATAGAAAATCATCGGACGTTTTTCGGGCGTAATATGAACTTCTATTGAAGCACTTCCAAGGACTGATTATTGTTTAACCTCGGCATCGACCAAATAATTCTGAAGTTTTCTTATTCGGCGAACACGAGGTTATCAACAAAATATTTATTCAGTGCAGCATAAACAGTGCAATACGGAGAGTTGCAATGGCTGACGTTTCGGCGATTTTTGCCTTCTTCAGAGCCTACCAGAATCAAACAGACATGCAGCGTACACATTCAAACACTTCTGTAAACAAAGCAGATAGAGCTTAGTAAGTAAACATCAAATCACATAGTGAACAGCTCATTATACATACTCACTTCCATATGTACTATATACTTTTCCATGGACTATACACCATGTACTAGTTTTATATATATATACATATATATACATATATATACATATATATATATATATATATTTATTCCCCAAGAGAATTAAGTGGTGAGCAAAAACACGGCCTCAAGCGAAAATCGAACCCGCGTTTCATCCTATCCGAGGACGCGTGCTTTATCACCACACTACCGAGGCACATTGCGCCACCACTCATTCTTTGACATCTCTACGTTAGCTATCAGCCACCAATCTTTTTAACAGGTTTGGTCGGGTATGCGACTTCGCTCTATAAACCCAGTTGAGGTGATAGCCATTGTGATAGCTAATATTCGAATATGTGTTTTTGCTCACCACTTAATTCTCCTAAGAATATACGAATAGTCATAAATAACACTGCGAAAAATGCAGTAAAATACTAGAAATTTCGAATGTTAGTTATTACAATGGCTGTCACCTCAACTGGGTTTATAGAGCGAAGTCGCATACCCGACCAAACCTGTTAAAAAGGTTGGTGGCTGATAGCTAACGTAGAGATGTCGAAGAATGAGTGGTGGCGCAATGTGCCTCGGTAGTGTGGTGGTAAAGCACGCGTCCTCGGAAAGGATGAAACGCGGGTTCGATTTTCGCTTGAGGCCGTGTTTTTGCTCACCACTCAATTCTCTTAGGAATATACGAATGATCATAGCACTGCGAAAAATGAAGTAAAATGCTAGAAATTTCGAATACATATATATATGTGTAATATACCGTATGAAGTATATATAAAAGGTGTTCACTATGATTTAATCCTTGCGTACTAAATTCTATTTGCTTTGGTTATAAAAGTGTTTAACTTAGTGGACTGCTTGTGAATCTGACACTTGCTCCGGACAAGGAGAAAACGCTGATACATCAAACATTAGAACTTTCTGTATTGTACGGCTTTTGCTGTACTAAATAAACGTTCTGTTAACAACCTCGTCTCTGCTCAGTAAGAAAACTACGAAACTTTTTTTCATTCGATACCCTTTTCAAACCGATGAACTGAACCTATGACAAATGATCTTCAACTAGGCCGCAAGGCAGCCTCTACAGGAATGTTTTCAACTTGTAGTTCTTTTTCGTATAAATGTTGTTTCTCTATTTTCATCTGTGTTCTTCTGTCTCCCTCTTTCTCTGTGCCCCTTTTTTTCCTATTTCTTCCTCTTTTCCCTTTCATGAAAATGCATCTGAACTTTTCCATCATGCATTATGCCTAAGATCTGAATCAAGAAAGAATCTTCAGTATTGTTTACGGGTGTTGTTTGAGGTATGCTGTACATTATTGGCTGACTTCTGAAAATTCAAGCAAAAATCGATATTTGAGCTTTCCTTGTCCTGGTTTTCGCTATTATTTCATCACATTATTAGACGTTGTAAGGAGCAGATGCATTGCACTGAGTCAATTCGTCATGAATGAGCACTAATTTTGAAGTTCTAGCCTTGGCTAATGTTCGTTAAACTTTGGACCACCATTTGCTTTTGACAAAGCGAACAATGTGTTCTATATGTATATATATATATATATATATATATATATATATGTATATTTATACTTAAATATGTATAAAACATGCACATATATGTATATATCTATATCACATATGTACACGTATTTGCATATGAATTCATGAGTATATGATATTTACATACATATGCGTATATACATGTATTTATATATATATATATATATATATATATAACAAATATATGTACATACATATACATATTTCTACATATGCATGTTTGTATATGTACACATATATTTATATATATGAAAGCCCTTCGACACAAAAAATTCTTAGTTGAAAAGCATGTATGTTCTGTTGCCTTATGATCGCTATTCAACAGAAGGTACTATGTCATCGACTGAAGAACGGGTTACTTCCATCGCCGCAGCTTTTTTGTCATATGAAGAACTAAGTAGAATCCACATGCAGCTTAAATTTTTCTTGACCGCTACCTCAATAATCCACTTCTTATAAAACACTCGCTGTTGCCGGATTTTTTCTGGGGTGCGCACAAAATCCCCCAAAGGGCGTTCCGCGGTCATCACCATCACCATCACAATCACCATCGTAGGCAGGCGCCCACTCTTGCCGATCGTAGGGAGATTTCTAACTTTACCAGTATGTTTCTTTACCCCAGGCAAAGATCCTGCCATGCTTTTGTCCTAATTGAGTTTCTCCAATAAAGGCCGCAAAATCATTTTTAATTATGGTGAATCTTGGCTGTAGATGAAATCCCCATTTAACGAATTTCCCATATTCGTTATACTACTTTCAGTGATAATCAGGCAGTGCTTTACTAACTGTACTTTGAAGCAAAGACCCTATTGTTTAGATCTCCCAATTTTACCATAGCATGGCCAAATTTTTTAACCGATTGAGGTCACGTCCAAATCAACCATCAAATGACAAAGTTTCGTATGATTGTAATACTTTTACCATTCCATGTTCATTCAACCAGAAGAACTTATTTAGGCAGGATGAACCTAAGTCAGAAATCTGCTTCGTTTTGTCGAATGGGTGAAAGTTGTTTTTTCTACTACTTTGAAATTTTTAGGATGAACTCATAAAAACATCAAGGCAATAGAGAATCTTAAGAGATTCTAGAGAACAACGACAATTTTCAGAGCAAAGATATCTTCTATGTTTTGTACAAGCGATGATACTGAAAATTGTTTTCTGTTATGAATGTCAACTGAACCTAAAGTGAAAAAATTATAATAAACTTTACCAAGTCGATAATGTCAAACCTTCTTGACCTTAATATGAATTTCGTACGTGTTCCTGACTTTTCATTTTTTATTCTATTTTATTCTAAGAACTCCATTTGTGTTTTCTGTTTCAATTCCATTTATGCTGGATATTCGGAGTCCGCAAATACCATCAGATTGTTAAACAGGAAAATAAAAATGAATCGATTGCTGGTCATCTTTCTACCAGAATTTTAGAATCTTTCATAGCTTTTAATCTTTTTTTCCTCTTTAATCAGTGAATGAATCGCATCAAATAGTTAGCAATGATGACTGGTTTCTGCCAATGACTGGTTTCTGCCAAAGTGGTGGTCAAGTTTTACTTAGAGGCAGCCCATTACTTTATTAATTCGCTACTCTTTTGTTGATTGCAGGATCGATTTTCGACAAATTTTATCAATCTCAGTGAATAAGACTTATACTAGAAAACTGTAAAGGGATATCTCAAGAGCTTTTGCATATTGTTTTCTTGGATTTTATTGATTAATAAACTCACGAGTCACCTTAATAGTTTATTTAATGGAGTTTCAATTTATTGTTCTACACTTCCTATGACGGGTTTTGTTTTACAATAAAGTTTTTTAATTTGTAACGCAGTCATAATACTGTAAGAAAGAAAGAACTTTTTTAATGATGTGCAAAGCATATTATTATAGTTTTATCACTTATCTTTCTGCTTTTGTTTTTCTACGAACAAAACGGTCAGATGTTCATTATGTTCTATTTGTTCACGATTGCCACATCAATGCCACTTAGGCTTTCGGTTTCGTGACCGTCTACGGATTGTCTTGTGCATCATCGAAAACCTTAGAAAACAATTGTGATTACAGTAGTCCTTGATAACTACAGTAACCACGGCTAGGGTTGAGGTCAATGTTGAACCTTTTTCTTTAGAGTTTTTGCCATTATGAATTCTTTGCTGCAGTTTCAATGATGAACTATACTATATATCTCCTTTTTCGGATATGAATAGCATTGCCTTTAATGACAGATGTTTCACTTATCCCTTCTTTTGTCTATGGTGGAATAGAAAAGATCCTAGCTGTGAGTGCTTTTGATGATTTTGACTAACGGAACTATTCTTTCCCTAGACATAAACGTCCTTCCACCCGTTCTCCTTGATGTTTTTGTCGTTCACCGTCGGTGTAAAACTCAAACTGGAGTGCGCTCTCTTCCAAGTTTTTGAGACGAATTCAAATCAATGGGTCTCAAATTCTGAATTCTTCAATAAATGTGCTCTATTTGTCCGTCATCGATCGTGTTTTTTTCATCTTTGACGTCCTTCGCTTCTAAAGTGCTATTTGCATTTTTGGCCTCACTCCTAAAGTGCCACTCGCATACTAATCGACTAGCCGTCTCAAAATCGTGGTCAGCTTCTCTTTTAGCTTTTTCACTCAGAAAAATTCCTCTTGCGTGATTTGCTTGGACTTCCTCTATGTCTTCCAGAATTATAAGACAGACCCTGATTTACAGTATCGTAAAGCTTACAATCATCTTTGTAGTTTCGTTTCTAATCGGAAGTGATTATCAAAAACTGTCCAAAACTATATTATTTTGTTTGTTTTTCTCTTCTAATTTTTTCAAACTTTTCCCCGACTTTTTACGTTCTTCAAATGTTTCACTTCGACCTATTTCGGTGCCGAATCAACAATGTCATTTCTTTTCTGATCTGACTATTGTAGTGCTTCGCTACATCAGAAGTACGTCTTGTGATTAACCAAACTCATTTCCTTCTCTTTTTTGCAGCTACTGAATTCTTAAAAGATTTAAGATACCTAATACCAGCCATTCACATTTGGATTGTGATGTTACTTAGAGTAATACTATAATAATTAATGATGATTAGTGATAATATTAGAGGGATTCTAACGAGTTTCAACACTAGATATTATGGTCGTACAGAAAGACTTGGTAATGTTCTTTCAAGGCGGCGCCACTTGAAGCCTTCAGTAAAAGCGTATTTTTAGCCTTTGCAAAACGTTTCTGTAGTTTATAGATAGCGCAAATCAAGTGAATTAGAAAGAATATTTTATCTCTCATATTGCTTGTTTTCAACGCCGTACCAGTCAAAATGAGACTTTGTTTCACATTTGAGGATTTCTGGCGTGATAAAAGTTTTTTTCAACAACATTTTAACCATTAGATAAAGCAAATCTTTCCGATTAAAAAATATGTTTGCTCTTTGGTATTACAGCTCTACACACACCCTAGGTGACTAAAAGTGCTCACTGAGTGTGAAACCCAATATTCTTTCGGTCGTTCCAAAGCTCGAAGAAGTCTTTTCGGGAAGTCAAATTTACCTTTATAATCGGAAAGATTTTCTCTATCTAACAATTAAAAGTTCGTTACAACAAGATTCTTATACAGTGTGAAATCTCTGAATAAGAAACAAAATCTAATTTTGACTGGTACGGCGCCA